ATGTACAGTGCACTCTCACAATACGATGTTCGCTACGATGTTCGGTTTTCCGGAAAGATCGGTTTGTTGAACATTTCTATTGAATCCTTTCTATCCCAAATAAGGCAGGCCAGTTAGGTCCTAGCCTAGGCCTAGACGCTAAAAATAGGCTTAGCAGCATAAGCTAGCCCAGTGAATTCGGTATGACTAGCCTACGAAAAAAGTTAACATTTAATATATAATATGTACTGTACCTGTTGTTTAGCTGTAGTGTACAGCAAATTGTATTCTGTACCAATAAAATGAATGCTTTTATATTTTTTTTTTTCGTGCATTTTCGGTCTGACATTTTTTTCTAAACTGTAAACACAACACATTCTTCGTGGTCACGACGATGCGACTTGTTGTAAATATCAGGTCGCGCCTCCTAAACTCTGCCCACTAATTGGTTAATTTTTTTCGTGGGGTCATGTTGCTGGGCAAAAATCCCATGTGCTTAGCTGTACGAACCACTACGAAGGTCATTGTTATTTTAATTAACTTTACAATGATCGTAGGCTGGATCGTCGGGCTGATAATCAATGCGTAAACAATATTGAAATATAGTTTACCAGCTTTCAACACGTAAGCAATGTTGCAATTTACTAAATAAACAATGTTAGAACTTTATTGTTTTGTTATATCCTACCTTATTATTTAATCGATCATGTTTTAAAACTGTGTTTAGTTCGCTAGCTAGCATGGGAGTCTCCTCTTCCACTCGCTGTCCACGACAGGAATTTGTTTGTAATGCTGTATTATTTTTTTAATTAATTAGCCTAGGCCTAGCTTATTTTTCATTTACAATTATTTTACCTCATTTAAAATGTCAAAAAACGATGTCCTCAATGGCAATACACACATGTGAAAAGATTGTTCATCAAATGATATTTTGTAGTCTTTAGTAAGATAAATAATAAATATAAAGGAGAATTAACGTCCGTTGGTTGTAAAATTACCGAATGTCACATGGAAAACACAATGGAAAATAAATCTTAGCCAGCATCAGACGTCAGAGTGCGCGCCAATCAGAACACAATAAAGTGTGTTAAAGGTTAACCTCGTGGCATATGTTGAAAAGCTGTGAGCAACAGTGAGTAAAAAACGGAGTAAATGCGGTCTAGCATGACTAGCCTTAGTTCGGCAAGGTAGTAATTTCTATACTTCCATTTAGTATTGCATCGCTTTGCAGGTTGTTCTGCTTCAAATTACGGTAAACAATAAACAACGTGATCTGTAGAAATCGTAATAATTTGTACATGATTTGTCATCAGTATTATTTAAAAGAAGAAAATTCCTACTACCAGAAGAATAATATCAGATCAAAATTCTCCGAATTGGAAAGTTTAGCAGTATAACTACTGTCTGCTCTCCTCTATAGGGGAAAATGTAGGCCGTACGTAAGCCTAAATGACATCGAAATTCGAACATACTGAATGCCCACTAGGTTACCCACCCAGCTAGCGAACTAAACACAGTTTTAAAACATTATCGATTTAATAATAAGGTTGGATATAACAAAACAATAAAGTTCTAACATTGTTTATTTAGTAAATTGCAACATTGCTTACGCGTTGAAAGCTGGTAAACTATATTTCAATATTGTTTACGCATTGATTATCAGCCCGACGATCTAGCCTACGATCATTGCAAAGCTAATTAAAATTACGTTCCAAACGGTACCTACGAGCAGGCTACGAGTGGTTACGCGCAGATACGAAGCGATATTTCCTGACTGTACTGTAGGCTAGTGTGTGATGTTCATCGGTTCGCCTTGAATGACTGAGACCGAGGCTGTTCGTATCAGTACCATGGGCTCTAGGCTGTTCGCAACAAATATGCAAATAAATAATTAAACAAACAGGCAAAAACATAACCGCCTGCCAACTTCGTTTAAAAAAAGTTATTAAAATCACAAGGGAACTGTCGCAAACATTGCAATAGCTGAGGAACTTGCTATTGTGTTGTGAAAAATACAAAAGCTATGGATGAAATTCAAAAATGACATGGTTTCATTAGGAATCGATAAAAAATCTAAAAATGTTTGAAATTAAATTTTTTTATATTTTTAGCAAGTTTTTGAAATTATGGAGGAAACTGACCCAAACATCACAAAGGCTGAGAAATGTGCTGTTTTGTTGTAAAAGTAGGGAAGCTACATGGATGAATTTCAGATGGGGCTATGAATTGTTACGTATATTAGGAATCGATAAAAATAAAAAAATAAAAAAAAAATTTATTATACATTTTTTTCTATTTTTAGCCAATTATTGAAATGGGGAAAACGTCGCAAGCAGGCTTAGAAATTTGCTAATTATCAAAAATTAAGGTTTGATTGGTGGGATTCTGATACTAGGCCTATTGTATATAATTTTAATTATTTCTGACATTATCTTGTGTTATGAATGTTACTGTATATTATGAGCTGTTGGGAGTCTAGGGAAGATCCTTCTGTAGGATGCAAGGTAGTGAATCCGCCTTAGAGCTAAGCACCTTTTTTAATGTCACATTAGATTTTTACTACTTAGCATTTCTGATCTCAGTTCGATTTGTTTTGGAAGTGTTGACGGAAATCTCCATTGCTCATTGAATGAAGGATGTCTCTCAGTGGTGGCTTCAGACATTTGATGAGAGTGTCCGACAGGCGCCCTCTTACCAAGGCTGACCAGAGAGGGTCGCAGGATGTAAAATCCCTGGTAAGGTTCATGAAAAATCAAAAATAATGTTAGGGATGGCAAATTGATATTTTCAGTCCAATGACTTTGTCTTGACTAAAGGCCAACTCAGACAGCGTCGTACGACGCAGCCCGACGCGATTTGTTGTCACGTCGGGTCTGTGTGAGTTACACGCATACGCGATGGTGTGCGTCGGGGGAAGTCGCGTCGTAGAATATTAAACATGTTCAATTTATCTCCCGACTGCTCAAGACTGTCCCCGACGATAAACCGGGTTGGGCTGTGTCAGCCGACGCTGTCTGAGTTGGCCTTTAGATGATGGACTGGGAGAGAGTGGTCCAGACCTGTCCAACAGGAAAGGGGAACATTTCCTCTGACCAACCCCTTCCCCCTTTCCTGATGAAACTGCCACTGATTTAGATTGTTTCAATATTATTGTTTTAAAATATATATTTTGACTGATAATGTACCATTTTGAGTACTCTAACATCTTAAACTGGGTTGAGATACGACATACACCAATCGGTCATCCTACATGTATGTATACCAGTACTTGGTCTGTTCAGGATTGAAATTATCCAGTTTTACTTACTTACTTTTCACAACAACATTCAGTGTGGCTTTTATAACATCTATCAAAATAAAATCCACCCAAAAAATGTTTTCTTGTGGAAGTTAATAGATACTGTACATGATATGTAAACAGTTTAAATAAAAAGTTTCATGTGTCAGGAAAAAAAAAGAATTAAATATCAAGAATCCCCTCATAGGGCCTGTTTCTGCTGCTTTTCCTAAAAATACGGTATAAAATATGCCGTATAAAATATGGTATCTGAAATCCAGCGTCCCGTTTCTACTAAAAGTACTTATTGTGTGGTCTTGTTTAAAAGGTCCTCTTTTACCCAAAATGTCTTTCGTGAGACAGAAGTTTGGATTGACCTGTGTAGTGAGTTTTTTTTTCTGCTCACGATAAACATGGTTTCTTTAAAGAACGTTGTACATTTAGTTTCATAATTAAAAGTTGTAATGAAGGAAGTTTTACACCCCAACTTCTGCTACAGCCTAGAAATTATTGGTGTTTAGTATTGGCTAATATCGTAGTATTTTCAGTCCACATTTCGCATTATTTTTCGCTTTTCCACGACAGAAAATCAAAACAACCCGCCCGCGTTATGCTCTGGCTCTTGACACCATGTCAGGAGTCGGCACAAAATACGGTATTTTTATTGGCAGCAGAAATGGGGTATGAAAAATACGGTATCTGTTGCAAAATACCGGAATAATTCTACAAAAATAGTGGGGAAAAATACTTTGAAAATCCATAACTCCGTAACGAAGAATCGTATCACATTATTTTTTTTTCTGGAAAAAAACTACAGTATTCTACACCACTATATAAGTTTTAAGAAATGAAAAAAATGTTTCGACCTCTGCCACAAGATGGGAAAAGAAGAGCCTATCTAAATTGTATTAAAATAGGCCTCTGCAGTACAGTACGTAGGTAGGTAGTAGTACTAGACTAGGCCTAGCTAGGTATAAAAGTAGCGTAGTACTTTTTCAGTTACTGTATGATTTACAGATTTCTCTTATTATATACTACTACTAGTAGTTGTTTTGGAGGTACCCTCGGACTGGGACCCTAGCTGAGGCGTGCCACAAACACCCATTTACTATACAAATTTCTAAGTTGTCCAGTGAAATGGCCTAGGCCCTGTCGTCTACTATTTTATGAGCCGAGCAAACGCATGTTCTACGCCTAGGTAAGGCGCTATGCAATTTTGGTCAAGCAAAAACTGCATGTAATATAAAAATTAATAATAGCATATTAAGAATCAATTTCTTTTGGAATTTTGTTATAATTTTTCAAACACATGTTGATTAACAGATATTTATTATCAAATGACATAACATTTTCTTATTAATATTTTTTTCAATTGTCTATTATTTTTGCAATCGCCACACTCTAGCATAGGCTTTGCGCTCACTCATGCATGCAAGGCACCAAGATGGCTACACAGCAGCGTCTCATGTCGCAACTCTCTATATAGGAACTCTATTGCCTACCAGTGGAATATGCCCTCTAGAGTTTCAGCTATGCCAGTGTAAACACCAAAAGAATTTACTTAATTGTGTAGTGGTTTTCTTCATTTAGTAATTTAAAAATGATCATCATTATTATTATAGGCCTAATCATTTATTTTTATAATGTAATATTTTTATAAATCTATGTAATATTCTTAATTCTTAATATTCACCACAAAAGTTTACGATTATTTACAGAAAAGACATGAAACAGTTCAGCCTTCTAACTTCAAAGTCTACGGTAAATGGGAAAAATAACGCTGTAGTGATGGGTCGCAGAACTTGGGATTCTATACCAGAAAAATTCAGACCACTTCCAAATCGAGTAAATGTTGTTTTAAGTCGAACTCTAAGGTTTGTTACCTCCAAGGAGGGTATTCACTAATGTCTGTCTGTTCAAAGTCAATCGGAAAAGGTCAAATAGAATAGCCCCTCGTATTCAAGCAGGACTCAAGAAAACTGGGCCTGAATATAGTGGGCGATTCCATTAATTTCTTAAGGGTAAACTGTAGCACTCAAGAAAATAATGTGCCTGAATATGACAGATGATTAAATTATTTCATTGAGGGTATGCTGCAGTTTCGCCCATCATACACGGTCTGCGTATTGTTAGTACTGTATTCAGTCACAGTGTGAAGGTATGCACTCCTGGAGTGACTGCTCTAGTTTATAATAAATTGTGATTTCTTCCTGTCTGATTAGTTTTAAATGAAAAATAAATTTATTTAGATATATCATATGATAACTACTTTTGCAATTTATTTCATGATATGCTTTTGTCACACTCAAATATTTGTATTTGTTTTTTTTTGCTAGTGACCCACCCCCTGGTGCTGACTACCTGTGTGGCAGTTTGGACAAAGCCATGGCCTTGCTTTCTGATGAGCCCCTCAATAATCAGATTGATCTGATTTGGATCATTGGTGGAAGCGAAGTTTACAAGGTTTGTTAAAAGGACATCCTCAATTCTAAAAAATAAAAATCTCTATATATGCTTTTCTTCCATTTCTTCGGTTCAATAAACATATAGGTTATAAAACAAGGGTCTTATTGTAAAAGAAGAACTTATAGCTCTTCAGTCTTCAGATAGCCATCATTAGTTGTTATAGTGCATCTCTTTCTCTTCCCCAATCTCATGAGACTTGGAGCATCTAGGGACCCAATTTTCCCATCCCTGAACATAGTATGTGGCAAAGTCAAGCCAAACCAGTCACTCATCGGAAAAATCAATTTTTAGTTATTAATACAGGGTTAAACAGTAAAATGAGAGCTATAAAATGGTAAAAGAATCATTGAAATCCAGCATTTCGTTATGAAGTTACAGGAGTTTAAACAGACAGCTGTTTAAAGAACAATATTTGAGAAATCAGTCTTTAAAGTTTAGGATTTAGGCATATCTCCAAATCGTTAAAAAATTGTTGCTTTAACATCGAAAATGGGGAAAACAACAGCATAGCATGATATATAGATATATAAAAGTTTAGTGAAATATAATAGGTTTTTAAAATTTTGACATCCAGGAGGTTTTGTCCATTATCTCTGAAACAGGATTTGCGATGATTGACTGGTTTGGTTTGTCTTTGCCACATAAAGAGACACTAAGCTTTAGGCTTAGAGCATTTTATGTTTTATTGTTGGGAGTAAAATTGTTAAATTGTTTCTATTTGTCAGGAGGCTATGATGTCACCATTGTGCCATCAAGTTTACATAACACGTGTATCCAGCCATGTCCAGTGCGATGCTTTCTTTCCAAATATTGACAAATTGAAATATAAGCAAATAAGGTAATTATCACTCTGATTAGTTACAAAGCTTTGTGTCTGCATTATCGTTATAAATAGTTTTTTTTTTAGTGTATAAAAGTTACTGAAGTTATATGTGAAAAAAATATGAGACGACTCTGATGCTATTGTGTTGAATCTCCGTTTGTGAATGAATCTTTCTGGTGTGTCAATCAAACTCAACTGACCAATCAGAACATGCTATTTTCGGGGTCAGAAATACATGCATATCTCACAAACAGTCTAGTTTTCATAGGTTTGAGCTGTCATTTAACAAAAAGACAAAGAGAAGCCATTGCGATCTGATTTTTCGTTCTTTACTACTATACTAGAAATGAGATCACTTTAAAATTGTTTGAATTTTTTACTTTTATGTTGAACCATAAAACGTAGATAACAATTTACCTGTAATGTTTCATTGGCAATCTGCTGATTAATGTGTTAATTATAATTATTAATAGTAAATAATATTTATAATAATAATAATAGTAATATTTACCCAAGAACAAAACCTTGATTCCTCAGGAATGTACCAAACCATATGGGGTGACAGTGTAACCCCATACTTTGGGTACTAGCTGCAGTCCTCCAATCCTAGTTATATCTCCTGCCTGTTGATTTTCTTAACCTCTACCTATTCTCTCCATTCTGTTTCTGGTTCCTGTTTATCTGTTCCCAAATCCAACAAACTTGCTGGTGATAAATCTTTCTCTTCATCTGCTCCAAAACTGTGGAATAATCTTCCTATTTCCATCCGAAATGCTTGTAGTACTGAAGTCTTCAAAAAACTCTTAAAAGCTCATTTATTTCCTAAATAATCCTCTTCCTACAATAAACCTTTTCTAAGCGCCTTGTATCCTTTGGCAAAAGGCGCTATATAAATTTCTATATTATTATTAATTTCTATATTAGCTTTTTTAGTGTTTTTTTGTTTTCGTGTATTTTTTGCACTAATTATTTAGTCAATTTTTTTGTTGTCTTACCTATCCTATTGAGTGCATAGAGACCTTGTTTATTTGCGCTATATAAATCAATCTATTACTATTTATTATTACTCACAAAGTCTTAACCGTTGCTCCACCAGGCTCTTTTTTGACACTTTATTTGCATTTATTTTTTTACCTTGTTTTATTTTGTTAATAAATTGTTATTGTTTAATTGTATTTTTTTTTTTAGTCTTTCTGATATTGATGGAAAAGAGCAAGAAGAAAGGGGCATTAAATTCCGATATGAGGTATATCAACAAATTAACAATGTAAAAAAATGAATTAAACTTTCCAATAAAAAAAAAAAACATTGAAACAAACATTTTATGGGGTAAGTTAGAAGTTAAAGGAACCCTGCAACCAAGACTTAAGCACTTTAATTTGTCCTTTTTAGCCCATATTGGTGGTTGAACAGTAATGGTTTGGAATTGCGATATTGGACACCACATTATACGTCTCTTATACACATCT